TTCAGCGGTGAGTGTCTTAAGCTCTCAATTATTTTTTCTGTGCCTTTCATTTGAATTGTTGAGCAAAATGTGTCGCTTTTACAGTCAATTAAATTATATTTTATGTGGCCTTCAGTTATATTTAATTTAATTGAATTGAATTAAATTTATTGATTTTTTATACACTTAAAACTTTAAACATGAGCTGATTTCCGATACAGACGTGCTTTAGTTGAAGTAAATTATACGCGAAAAATATTTAAAGCCTAAAAATTATATGAAAATGTTTGCCTCAAAATATATTGCGTTTATTATTTTAATGATCACTTTTGAGACAATAAAGAGCTCAGGTAAATAAATTACATAATGATCAAACTATGTTATTGTAATTGTAATGGTCTATTCAGAACCACCAAGATTATCACAAAAATCTCCACTAAAACAGCCAGATGATCCAGTAGTTCAGGGAAAACTATTTAAATTGACCTGTAATGTAGAATCGGGAACTCGGCCCGTAATCTTGACGTGGTTTCGAAATGGTCAACAATTATCTGACTTTAACAAGGATTACAGATTCGAAGTCGATCATGTTGATTACCATCCTCATTTTTCAATACTTAATTCTTATTATATAAGTGATGAAAGTGAAGCCAATTATACCTGTGTGGCCAACAATGCGTTTGGATCTGATTCACAATCAGTCATATTAAAAGTAGACGTGATATCCAAATGGATTAATGAGCCCAACAATACGTTCGCCAAACTCGGCGACAGAGCGTCCATAGAGTGCTCGGCCGACGGTTCGCCGCAACCGGTCATACAGTGGTGCAAAAGATCTCGTTCTGGTTTCTGTTACGCAACAATCGAAGGCACCTATCATTCTGAGAGAAAGCAACAAGGCAATAAAAGCGTCATTGTGTTTCATAAGGTCGACCCAATAAATGTTGGTGTATATGAATGTATTGTCTCCACTGATGGTTATTACAATAGTGTAATTTTTCCAACCAATGGCATTTTGTTGAGAAAACAAATCTCATTTACTATAAGTAATATCTTTTAGATTTTAATTTTTGGACACATTTTATGCTCAAAACAATTCATTTGTGACAAAATTTTTGATAAATACAATTATTTTAAAAATAAATATCTACTTACTGTCAGTTCCGGCGAAGTTTGACGAGAAGTATAGTCTAATGCAAGTGAAGAGAGGAGAGAGCGCTCGACTCAAATGCAATGTTTCTGGAGATCAACCCCTGGCTATCAAATGGACTAAAGATAACGTGAAACTCGAAAAACTGGGCTCTCATTCGTAAGTCACGCACAAAACTATCAAATAGTTTGATAACAAAAACGTAACTTTAATTTATTAAATAGTTATGAAATCTTTGAGACGACAACCGATTTCGGTCTCCTATCGGAGCTGCTGTTGAGGACAACCCAAAGGACTGACGGATCGATATATAAATGCGAGGCCGAGAATACACACGGAAAGGACGAACGCACTATCAAACTGGTAGTACTCGGTATGTATTGAGTATTCAATTGGATATATCCAAACCTGATTAACCCATGGGTGATATTTATAGAGGTTCCGGGCCCTCCCATGAATGTGCACGTGAAGGAGGTCTGGTCGCGAACGGCGAGCATCGTGTGGTCGGCCCCCTATTCGGGAAACTCTCCGCTCACAAAATACACGATACAGTATTGGAGACATCAAAGCGCACCGCACAGACTGCACGAGTTTGTGGTCAGTAACTCGCAGACCACAGCGTTGATCAAAGACCTGAGCCCTGGCCTGTCCTACGAGATGACAGTCGTGGGCGAGAACGAGGTCGGGAGGGGAGAGGCGGCCGACACCGTCACGTTTGTCACCGGCGAAGAGGAGCCGTCGGCGC